CACTTGTCGGTGAAGACTGATGAAAAAGAGTCATTGACTACCCTGGCTTTCCCCATGTCCCGGGTCACCAGGTCTCCTACTTCCTTTCAGAGAGGGCCCATGTTTTCCCTAGTCTTCTTTTTATCACCAATGTAACTAAAGAAGCTTTTCTTGTCATCCTTGATGTTCCTGGCTACATTTAATCCTATCGGGGCTTTAGCTTTCCTAAACTAAACCCTGATTCCTTGGACAATCTCTCTGTGCATCTCCCAGACTACCTGTATTTCCATCCTCTTTAGGCTTCCTTTTTGTCTTTAGATTCATCCAAGAGCTTCCTGTTCATCCATGTAGGTCTCCTGGTGGTTTTGCCTGACTTCCTCTTTGCTAGGAGGCATTGCTCCTGAGCTTCGAAGAGATGATTGATCTCAGGGTCTCAAACCGTGGGACACAAACCATGGGACACAGGGCTTGACTGAATCCAGGACAGGGTTTCACATTGTTATAGAGGGAAGGCTGCCACACCACAGCCTCTGCAAAAAAACCAAAGCAGGGCATGTTGAAATGGCGCCAGCATCAGCTTTCAGGACTAGGCCTTCATACAACATACTGCATTAAAAGCACAGCTGCAGTCAGAGGGGTTAGGTCACAGTTGTTCTCACAGACAGTTATTTTTGAGGAATGCCTTCTAGCAAGTCGAACTAAGGCTAGATTAAAAAATAACACCTAAGGATACTGCTAACTTGCACACAGAGACATTCCTAGCATCAGCAGGGCTATGTGTGGGTTACCTTCACTGTCTCTGGACTCTGCATTCACTACTGCCTTGGTGTTCCCTTTAGCACAGCTGCTGTCCCGAGCACCTTTGGCACCACACAGCAGAAGGGATGACAGAGCTGCACCCACTGGGTGTTCTGGGGTTGTCTGTTACAAATGTTTGTGAAGAATCTAGCAAAAGCAGAAAGCCAGCACACGATGCATTTGCAAACTTTTGAAGCTGTCAGGGAGAGTTGCTGCTATGCACACGCATTGTTGTTATTAGCTGTGAGTACTGGGAGTTTGCAAACCCTTATAAAAAGATTATGCAAGAACAAGCATTTAAATTCAGAGTGAGGTTTACTTTAATTGTGCAATATTCAATAAACAGAAGTAGACTACTCTTGCTCACAGTATTTAGTTTTTCTAAGTCTGTTTTAGTCACACTGAAATTAAGGGACTTGTGGAGAACATCAAGGTCAACAACACAGAACCTATAAAGAACAATATAAACACAAAACGGACTAGGCAGTCATCTTAGAGAAAAAAATCTACTAAATTGGTAACTTCATGTTCTTATTTAGAAATAAGCAAAAAACCCAAAGAAAACCCAAACAAACAAAACAAAAAACCAAACCCAAAACAAGCAAACAAACAAAACCCACCAAAACAAAAAAAACAAAACCCAAGCAGTCAATCCTCAAAACCAAACAAAAACCCCAAACCCTTACAATTGAATATTGAGGTGCCACAGCAAAACATGAGTGTAATAATATCTTTTGACTAAACAAGAATTTTGAGTGCCAGGTCACACCCATAATCTGTCAGCAGTAGACACGCATAGAGTGAGCTTTCCCTCAAATTATCAGCCTGAATACATGGCAATCAATGAGAATATATATCACACAGAAGTACATGTTGTATATGAAAATGTGTCACAGAGAGCTCTTGGGAACTGCAGCCATCTGCCTTTCTTTGACACCAATGAATCCTGAATCTGGTGATCACAGTGAGATGGAAAAGCAATAGCATTAAAAAAGACTGCATCATTATCAGAAAAATGGTCGCTGTTAAAAAAATCCAAACAACTGCTCTAAAAATTACTCACAATGATAAAGAGTTTTGGTTAACCCTTTTCTGAGCCCCTCAGATAAGATTGTTGGAAATTTCTGCAGCAGGAGGGAGGAAACTGTTATTATTATTATTATTAATAACAGTAGTAGCATTAATAATAATAATAACCAACAACAAAACAAAAATCGGTTTCTGACTCCTGCTTCAAGAAAGAGTTTCTCAAACTGCTTCTGCCTGGTCAAGGATTAAAAAAAGTCCCAAAGGCTCAGAAAGCCCCTGAATTCAAGGTGATGTATTTAAATCTCCACCTCCCACACCCACTCCAAATCCAATTACCATCAAGCTCAATGAGAAGCCCTACAAAATATAACAAGCAAAAAAAAAAATCTTGGTGGAAAGGGAGAAGAAAAATATAAGTGAACAAGTAAATAATTGAAAGTTGATTTAAATTTAAATTAAAATCTTAACAAACACAGCAGATGCTTTTAATAATTCCCCCTTTTTTGGATTAGTAATATTTTAAAATTCTTCTTATTGATTAAATTATCTGCCTGTTAAATATGACCATTTCATTCTTACTGCCTAATAGAGTTAAGTATATTGTGATCTGTTTTATGTCTGCTCTCATTCAGATATTTTCTGAATCTAAGTTTTCACAATATCTTTATTTGGATTTCTCAAGCCTCAAGTAGTCTGCTTTTCTCAAATTCCAGACCATGAATTGGACTCCTATACAGATTCAAAGATGTTTTCCCTGCACATCATGCTGTAGGTAATCAACATTGCTGGAAAACAAAAAAAAAAAAACAAGCCAGAGCAGATAGTCTAAAGTTATTTCCTAGAGATGACAGGCCCTGCTGCTTCAGTCACATCAAAGATACAGTGTCTGATGTGCTCACAAATTGCTGACAATAAATGGGGAGTTGTTTATCAGCTGGAGTAGTGCTGCAGATATTGAGAAAATACAAACCATCCAGTATTTTAGGACGGCAGGTATTCTTTCATCCAACCATACCTCACTTTCTTGTCTCCTGGAATGACATTTTAGGAATTTTTCATCTAAAGAAATACAACATGTTTAAGAAACCAAAGACAACTCTTTCTAGGCACTGTATTGCTAAATACTTGTTCTATTGGTACCTGCTCAAAGGAAAAAAGCTACCTGTGATGTAAGCTCAACCTTTAGTGATTTCTAACCAGGGATATGAGAACTCAATTCCTTGGACAGTTATGATCTGCAGTAACTGTTACTCTGGTAATTTCAAGCACAGAATGAATTGCAATGACCTTAAACATAGTGAGATTACTTTCCTACTATGCTTTAGGGTATTCTGAGCTAACAATGCTCCACATTATCTTACTGAAGCTAGCTAGGTAGGCATGGGAGAGATTAAATGTTAAGATATCATGAATCAATAACCTAGTAATGAGAGTGTTCACTTCTAAAGAGGAACACCTGAAATCCAGTCAGTGTTTCAGACAATATTTGACACAAGATGCTTAGGAGAAAATAAATAAAATGAATATTTAAAATTTAATCTCCCACCTCCAAGATGAGAGACCTAATAGTAAGATGGACTTATTGTCATTTTCTTTCTCTGGTAAAATAATTAATGAACTTTACTGTCACTTAGAGTGAAGATCCATCCCATTAATGGAGACTTTTCCAGCATTAACTATTATCTGCAACTTCGTTTTTCATAAAGGAAGACACGGGTTCAAGTGAAGAAAAGGATATAATATAGGCATCACCCTTGGTTGAATGAATCACTAAAAAAGTATGTGTGGAACCTCACAACATGACTCCCCGATTCACAATTTTATGCTGTACAGTATGTTTAAAGTGCTTTAGTACTGGAAACATGAGGGTTCATGAAATTTAGTTGAGCAGACCTTTCAGGACCTATATTCTACGCTGTGACATGTAAACTAACAGTTGTGTCCTACAACTTCCTTAGGAAGGTACTTATTTCTTCTAGGTCCAGCATAAAATTCTGAAAATGATGAAAAGGTTTGTTTGCATGCACAGTATTATAAATTTTTTCATTTCTATGAAGATTTGCATGAAATCAAGTTTGCCCCTAGCGTGCTTGGCATTTCTTCCAGGAAAAATGGATTTGTTCTCTACCTTCACACCCACAGAATCATGCAGATATATGTGTACATGCAGATAACCACATACACAAAGAGACATCAACACATATACAAACAGATGCACAGACTCACTGTTTGCTATTTTTGGTAGTGTTTTTGTTAAATGCAATTCACAGTTAAGTGCTGCTTTTAGAACAACATTTCAGGGATTCAGCTGTTCTGCTCAAATCTTCACAGCTGAAGAAGAGACAAAACAGGAGCAGCCTTTTTATTGTATTAATTTGATTTTTGTCTTTTGTCCTGCCAGCTATCAAAATTGTCAAATAAACCAGCTTTGATTCATAAATAATGGTTCCATTATATTTACTGTGCCACTGGTCAGAGTACCTGAAATTTTAATTCACTTGTTCAGCTAAATTTCATCCTCAGTTCACAGCCATAAAATTCTGTATTGACAAACTTTCAAACCAACTTTGACTCTGAGGTATCTAGTCAACATTTTTCTTCTGTGTGGATATTAGTTTATTGAATAAGTGGCATCTGTTTTCCTCCACATCACTAGTGGAGTAGGTATTTCCTTTTGACAGCTTTGCACGATTTATGGGTTTGCATGCTACGAAGAAAAATAGTACTAAGCAAAAAATTCCAATTCATTACCTCTTAGTACTTAATTAAGTTCATACACATTGCACACTATAGGTGAACCCTGAAATGACTGTGACAGCCACTGAGCAGCAAGTTAGATTATCTTTGGAAGACAGAGAGACTTTTAATTATCTTGACCTTATTTTTTCCATCTATGATATTCATAAATTTTCATTCTATTTTGTTGTCTCCATCAGATGTACCAAACCCTACTGAAAACAAGATTATATCCTCAGCTATTTCCTTTTATCTGCACATTTAGGCACCAAATGTTTTTACAAATAGTGAAGTCAAGCAATAGTTTTTATCAGCTTACTTCACACAGCTGCAGATGAATTGTATCGTACAGGCTTCTCATAATAACGGTTTGATTTTCAAAATTATAACATCTTTATAAAAGAAGAAAACAGTGGATCTGGCTATGAGTAAATACAGAAATAAAGAGAGCCTGGGCTTTACCTGTCAGGGTTCTGTGTACACACATGCATCTGTAAGAGGATCCGCTGGGTGAAAGTCTTAAAGCATTGCCCACATTTCCAAAGATGCCAGTCACTGAACTCAGAATTTAGTTGACTTGTTGAAGTTGGGCTTGCAAGAACTCGTTGGTTTTTGACACTGATCTGGTTAAATCCTGACTCGATGGACCCAGACTTATCCAGAAGAGAAAAATTTCTGCTACACGGAGTCTGTGGAAATACTACAGATCGCTGTGGAGTGGCAGGGGACAGTTTGCTACTTTTATTAAATGGCTGTAGGGTGTCTTGTCTGGACATGGCCTCCATTACAGTCGAAGGGACATTCACTGGGAGAAAACAAGAAAAGTAAATAAGATCTTTTTTATGCCTGTTAAAAGCTAATACAGTTTTGGGAGACACCAAAAAAAAATAACAACATCCATTTTCTTGACACTATGATTAAACAACTTTATTTTAACAATGCACAAAAAATAAAAAAGTTTTTTTTTGATCTGAACGGATGGTGCTGATTCTGTGACACTGAAATGAAAATTCATGCAAGGGGCTGTATTACACTGAAGGGACCTAAAGAAGCCTGACTGTGGTATACATTTATGACACAATGGGATTGTCATCTGAAAGAAAATTCTGCTGTACCTGTGATACCCTGACTCTGCATGCTGCAGTCAGCATGTCTGATGGCTCTATCATAGATGAGCATGAATTTTGAGAAAAAATCCACTGAGATAGAAACGGGCTTAAACATCTACTGCACCAACGGTTCCCTTATCCCCTTAGAGGGCAGCCTCTAAGGATATTATTCTATTACATTTCACAAATAGTCACACTGCCAATACAATAATAAGTAAGAGACTTCACCATGTCTTATATGATTAAGAGTAATAGCAGGTAGGTCAACATGAGACAATGCAAAGTATAGGCAAAGATATCTTTGTGCATCAGCTTCCCACCTACAAAACAGGTGTAAAAATTGTTTCTAGTCCTATGAAGGTTTTATGATCAACAATTAAATATGGCTTATGAGGCACTCAGATATTTCAGCAACAAATGCAAAACGCTGCTCACAAAGAAGTGCTTTAGTGCTGAATTTGAATGCTGCATGTTAAGGAAGGCATGTACCATGTAGATCATGCAGTGAAAGAAGCAAAGGTCCTGTGGAAAAACAGTCAGCTAACAAAAGCTTGTTCCACAATGAAGAAAGAAACACAATTTAGGCCACCTGGGCCAGGTAACTTCTAACGCATTCTAATTTTGGCACACTCAGTCTCATGAGATTATATTTTAATGGAAGTTTTTTAACTAAATATGTTGTATGCATATGTGTATATATATGTACACACATTTAGTTATTGTCACAAATTGTTCATAGGTATGTACCTTTATGTAGGTACATAGAACCTACTGAACACGTGACTAAAAACTGCAACTCTGTTTAGGTAAGTTATGGTAATAGATTTCTAAGAGCAAATATGAGAATTAAATTTCAGTTGTGTCCAGGATTCATCCAACACTATTTAATACACAACAAAAACATAATACACATTAATGATTTGGTAATACCTTAAATCATGCTACTTATAGTCATGTCCTAGTATCTCTCACCAATCATAATGACTCCAATGTAATAATATTACAAGCCATTTAATTTACGTAAGTTGAAGTCTTTCTCAAGCTATTTTTTTGGAGTATCTGAGAACCTAATTTTTAAGCAGTTACATCCAGACATATAATACATCTTCTATGTCTCTTCAGTACAAGAAGCAATTTGTATACTTCCATTTTGCCCCAACATATTCACAAGAAGAAGACCAGGGTTCTTTCTTTTAATTGTATTCATAAAGTTCACAGATGCAATAAGATCAGGGTACTAAAGACTTAAGGAATATAGGCAGAGTTTGTACTGGTGAAAATACCTCTCTGCAGAAGATAAGCAGAAGGTCTACTCTGAGACTTTAAGTGGCACTTAAGTCATATACCATCCTGCAGCTGTCTGCATGGTCAGAGATTAATTTCATCTACTCATGTCAGTGTCTCTGTGGATGAAACTCTGGTTTCCCTCACAGCAGAATAGCAAGAGACAATATTTGAGATTTTAGCCATAATGCTTTGCTTTTCAAATAAAGGTTTTGTAGGCTTGAACTCATGAAAGAAAAAATAATATTTCTGTATTGTACACTACAGAGCATGAGTTTTATCAGCAAACATTAATGTCAGTACCTAAATTTCTTTTAAACTTCTGTCAAACCCAACAGATTAGAAAACTCAAGATGAAAAAGGATGTTTATTTTTGACAGTTTTTAGTCCCTGCTATCTTGCTGTTTTATTGCTGCATGGTTCACTATTTAAGCTGCTACAAGGCACCAGTTCATCCTAGCAGTTCATCCTGTTTAAGTATCCAAGTACTTGACCAAAAACATACATCTTATATGTAGTTGATTAAGCATGGACAGTAACATGATTACTTTAGACCAAAGTCAATCAGGCATCCACTATTAGGTTCTTCCACCACATAGATACATATAGCTGTCAAAATGGATGCAAGCACTGATAATCAAGTTCCACACAGCAAGCGGCGAAACTGAAGGGTATCCCTGGATCACCTATTGCCATTACAGACAAATATATCCAGCACGAGATGGGTCTGTGTTATAAATTGCATGTTTAGTTTTGTCAGGATTCCTAGCAAGCTAAAAACAAAATATTGAGAAGAATGGATGGAAATGGGGATGGCCAGGATGGAATGGAGGTTCATGGTCATTTCAGGGTTCTTACACTCAGTTTGTATTTAGAGAAGCTGGTTTTTACCTTTCAACCACAAGGATCTAACCACTACAATCAGTCAGTCAAAGCTTTTCTCAACATACTCAGTGGTTATAGAATGAAGTATCACTAACAGAGGCCCTGTGGGCCTGCAATGCATCACTGTTTTGGCAAGACAGTGTTTTATGATAGGTCTGGTAACAATGGAGAGGACAAAGCAAATCGGTTAACAACAGACTAGGAATTAATCTCTTATAAGAGTGATTCTAACCATACCATAATTTTGCATAACTTAAGTGTATCAGCTTACCTCAAAATATACAACCACTTTCTTTTAATATCACAGAATCAAAGAATCAGAAAATCATAGAATGGTTTGTGCTGGAAGGAACCTTAAATATCATCTAGGTCCAACTCTCCTGCCATGGCCAGGGACACCTTCTACTAGATCAGGCTGCTCAAAGTCCCATCTAGACCAGATTTCAACAATTCCGGGGATGGAGCACCCCCTAATATACTCTAAGAATATGTCTGATTAGGCATGAAACAGGAATTATGGCTTACATGTGTGGAAATGCAAGGAAGAACTTACAATTTTCATCTTGTGCAATGCACTGGAGAGGGATTCCGAAGAAAGATGTGTAGCTGTCATTGTACCACACCAACAGCTCAGTGCCCCTGGGGATGTCTACACAAGCCCGGTAGAATATATTTGACCTAATCAAGACAAAAAGTAAAAGGGAAAAAAAAGCGAAAAAAAAGGCCTAATTAAGGAATAGAGCATTATCCTCTTATCAGACACAGTATTATAATAGTAATTCATTGTTTTGAAACATTTCTGCAGATAACTAAATTAATAACTTACTGGCTATTTTAAAATTAAATCTGTCATTAGAGAAGGTCTTTGTTCCTGTAGCACAGGCTAACAAAAACCTTACTGGTACTTTGAACTTCGCATAACACTAAGGTTTTAGCAGGACCAAGATTTCATGAAAATACAGGTATTTTCTTGCAATGTCTGTTTTAAATTGATTTTATAAATGGTACATTTTGCTCACACAGTATAAGCATCAGAGTAGTGCCCACAGTTCAGCAAGTACAACCATTTAAACAGCTTTGCATTTGTCATCTAAGCTAAAGTTAACATAGCTTAGGGGCAAATAGACAGCAGCTCTTTCATGTGAGTAAATTCTTTGAGCAAGAGATTTAAAGTAGTGTGAAGTGACCTTTCATTACAGCAACATACCACCAAAAGCGAGATCTTGGATTGTTGAGTAAAATAAACTTTGGCTTAGAGGAAATAAAAAATTGGACCAGAACAT